AAGGAACGGAACAGAATAGAATTAGAATAGAATAAAACTAGGATAGGACAGGACAAGAACAACAGAACAGGAATGGAATAGAACAGAACAAGGATAGGATAGGACAGAACAAGAACAGAACAGGATAGAGGAACAGAATAAAACTAGAATAGAACAAGGATAGGATAGGACAGGACAAGAATAGTACAGAATAGAAGAACGGAATGGAACAGTAGAACAAGAATAGAATAGAATACAACAAGGATAAGACAGGAGCCGAACAGAACAGAACAAAATAACAGAGTTGGAAGGGACCTTGGAGGTCTTCTAGTCCAACCCCCTGCCCCGGCAGGAGACCCTACACCCTTTCAGACCAACGGTTGCCCAGTCTCTCCAAACGGCTCTTCCTGGAGCTCACGAGGGACGGTAACTAACCTTTTGATTCGCCTGGGGAACATGCAGCTTTTCACCCTCCTCCGTTGGGCTTTTCCAGCTGGGTTTCACCGACCTGAACTTGGCCGAATTCGCCGGCTCGGGCCTGACCGTCCGATGCTGCCTGTTGGAAGGATACGACACCAAGAACACCAGGCAGGACAATTCCATCCTGAAGGTAAGTCTAGAGGATCTCTGGGTGCAGGCAAAGATGTGGCGGATGGACAGGGGTGGTTGCTGAGAGAAGTGCTGGAGATGCTTTCCCCAAAAAAGGAGCAGCCTCACAGCGAGATAGGCGGCAAATAAATTTAACAAACAAGCCCAGGTCATCCTCAACTTACGACCATCACTATAACACCTCTGTTGTTAAGTGAGACATTGGTCCAATGAACTTTGCGCCCCATTTTTACGTTGTTTCTTGCCACCGTTGTTAAGCCAATCGCTGCAACTGATAAGTTAGTTGAGTAGATCCGGCTTCCCCGTTGATTTTGCTTCCCCTGGGACACAGCAACCGTCGTAAGTGCGCGTTGCCAAGCCTCTGAATTGCGATCACGTGACCATGGGGAGGTTGCAACCTGTCGCAAATGTGAAAAAATGGTCGTAAGCCGCTTTTTTTTCAGCACCGTTCTTCGAACGGTCCCTTCGTGAACAAGGAGTCCCTGCAAGTAAATATAAATAATAAAATGGCGGCTAGGATGAAATAGAGAACGTACCTAGTAACGAAACCCAGGATAG